ACTGAAATTATATGTGTTTCTGTACTGGTTGGTTTTGTCTTATTTTGAGTTTATGATTTTTTTCCTGAACACTAACATATCCTCCTGTTAATTTTTAATTTCTGTCAGTTGTGCTAGGGAGGAGTTTGCTTTTTTGGCATCCGTCTCCTAAAATGAAGGACATACAAGGGAAAAACACCAACCTTGGAGATGTAGGACAGTTGGGCTTGGGTTGTTAAACTGATCCCAACTCATGCCCTGCGTTTATGTTAACATGGATCACAGCTTTATTTATTAATATAGGAATGTGTCCATGTTTATATTCTGCTGCTCTGAAAAACTACTTAAAAAAAACCAAACCTGCTATATATCATGATAGATGTTTGGTGTAGGTTTCTCTTTCTCCCCAGTCAATGGGTCACCCAAGCAATATTAAATCAGTCAATAATTACTATATGGGAGGAGAAGAGGCCACAGTTAAATGTATTATCTTTTTGTGTGTGATCTTTTTATGTCAGAGAAGAAAACACGACTTATAAGCAACTTTCCAAGCTTATATTTACTGACAGATATGTTAAGTTTGAAATGGATTCTGGGCTGTGTTCTGTGACGTTTTGCCTTCGTAGATGTATTTCATTAAACATGAGTGTGACTTAATTGTGTGGATAAAAATAGCAGCACATGTGTTTGTTGGAACTGTTCTTACATTTTTGGAAAAGCTTTTGGTGTTCGTTTCAGAATAAAAAGAAAGGGCAAGGTACCTAAGAGAGGAGTTTAGCTCTGTATCCTGTGAACTTTCAAGTTTTGGCATTTCTTAGGGAGGAAGACTGAAATTTTTAACAGTTCAGACTAAACACTTTTTCCTAGTCATGGAATATGTTAAAGTAACTGAAAGTACCTTTTGAATTTGATGAGTGACGAGCATGTTGAGTGGGTTGAGGGACTGATCTCCAGGAATTTGTTCCTGTCAGATGTGCACATTCTGTAGCCCTTCTGTGCATTTGGTTTTAATGCTTATTCAAAGAATTAATTATCAGGATCTGTAATTACACAAAAAGCACTAATGAAAAGTGCTATCTTGGTCACAGTGTGCAGTATTCCTGTAGGACTTGGAGGAATATATGACATTACTTTTCTCCTCAGACTGAACATTTAATATGAAACTACTCAGTATCAGCTTCCTGCAGTCCTGGATCTACAAGAGGACTCACACGCTGCAATATCTTCAAATACTCTTTGAATGCTGCAGTTGCAGTTTCCAGTTGTGGACAGGCTGGTTGAAGTCATTGTCGTGACTGTGAAGAGCTGCAGGAAGAAAAGTTTTAAAGGAAAATTTTTAGAGAGATGCATGAAAACATTCGGCTGGCATTGGATTATTTGAGCGTGGCATAAACATTAATATCTGGTAATGATTATGTTTCAGAAACATGCTGGCAACTCGTTTAAAGGAAGGAAACGTAGTTTTTCTGGAATAGACAAACTAAGAATAATATATTTATAAAGGCATCATTGTAAAATCTTTCGTCCTTTAAATGAAATTATCTCTAAAACATATCACACAACTTTTCACTGGTGTGGATCTTGGGGGATTTGGAGTAAATGAACGTAGTTTCAGTAAAAATGCCTTTAATCAATGACTGCTTGGAGCAAAATACCCAAAGTAAATGGACAAGTCGATGCCAGGGCACAGGTTCCAGGGCTCTGAAAGGTGAGCTGTGCACTGCCCAGGAATTCTCTGTTAAGGTGGACTAAAACCTGTGTCCTGTGGCATAGACTGTTGTGTTCTGCAGTTGTGCTTGGTTCAGTGTTCAGTGAACCAACTAGAAATGGTGTGTGAGTGTGCAATATTCTGTTGTGTCGTTAAATGTTATTTTTTAGTCAGTTCAAAGCTGGCTGTGCTAATTCTCTTACCTCTCACCCATGTATACTGTTGTTCCAAATGGATGGGTTTGTCTGTATCCATATAACCTTTAAGCTTGCTTTCTACCAGAGGGCAGGGAAAGGTGTAATTCATGTGTGAATTACTCCCTGAGAAGCAGCTTTTGTGACTGTCTCTGTTGTACCGTGCTAATAATTCGGAAGAAGGTTGGAGCAGTGCCCATGAGCACTGTGGGCACTGCAGTGTGCTCAGCCAGGCTGTTCCTGCAGAGTGCAGAGGTGCTGGAGAGGCCCTGGCAGCTCCTGTCCCCCCTGGGAAGTTGTCCCCGAGCTGCTGTGGAGCTCAGCAGCAGGACAGTTGGGCAGTGCTGTTTCCTATCCAGCTCCACTTTCCAAGTGCAGGCCCCTTCCTGTGGGTGGCAGGGCAGGTTTAGCACCTCTCCATCAGAAATTCCCTGTCTATCCCATATGAATATCTGGCAAACTTCCCTTTCTTTTCTCTTACTCTCCACCACGTGCAGGTTTGTGTGTGCTCCAGGTCTGAGCTGGTTCTCCTCTCCACCCCTCAGCAGGCTGTGTCTGTGCAGCTCTCCAGGGCCTTCTGTGTTTGGGAGAGGGAAGTACCTTCTTGGGTACCAAACTTACCTTTGGTCAAAGCACAAGTTTGAACTTCTTGTTATTTCCTGTTTTCTCAGGAATTTTTCAGGAAATGTTGGCAGCATGTCAAAATATTAAATAGGCTGTAACATTGGGGTGTTGTCAACTTGCATCAGCAGTGACAACAAGGAGGATTTGATGGCTGCCCTGCCAGTCCTTATCTAAACTTCCCAGTTTTGTCTCTTCTTATTTTGTCGCATGTGTTACCTGGAAAGGTGAAAAAAAGAAGTTTTCATAGGGAGTAAGTCAAGAAAAGGAAAGACAATGAGCTGTCTGGGTTTTACCTTTCCCCTCTTACCTAGCAGTTTCTCTCCACTCAGGTTTTATTGCTACCATCTAACTGGCTACTCCTTTAGCTACCATATGCACTGGATGGGTGTTGTAACTGTACATAACTTTTTTCACCTTTCTGATGCCTAACAGTATGAGCTGTGAGGTGTTGTCCTTGCAGTTGCTTATGTGTGGTGAACTCGGTTGTGTTCCTCGATTTTATCTCCCCTCCTTTTTTCAGAATGTCTCTCTGTCTTGCAATTCAATGTTCCCTCTTTACATCCCATGCAAGACTGTTGTCATTTATGTGCCACAGATCTAAAAATTAAAAAAAATTCCAAGTGCCTGCATTCTGTTAGGTTTCAGTTGGATGTTGACTTTTAAATATTACTTCCATTTGAAGGTTTTGAGCCTTTTCCCAACTGACCCTGCTCAGTGGATGGTGTTGGTGCAGGAGTGACAAGGATGGCTGGAGGAAGGCAAGGACGTGTTTGCTGTCATTGTACACCTTGTCAGTGAAAGAGATGTTCAGGAACTGGCCTAAAGATCCCCTGTGAGGGTGGCAGGCCCAGAGCTCTGCTGCTGCAGAGTTTGCATCTGATGGGGGCTTTGTAGAAACCAACCCCTTCTCTGGAAGTTTGTGTTCTGTTTCCTTTCCAGCTGCTGGGCAGACCCAGGGATGGGTCTGGAGCAGTGTTAAGGACTGCAAATCCAACTAAGGCTTTTCTGAGTTGTACTGTGAGGGAAGACGCTCTGAAATTCAGTTTATCCTTCTGGGCCTCACAAAGTGGACTGGACTTGACACAAGTGGAGATCTTTTTTATCCAAGAATTCCACTGTTTTACCTCTTTGGTTGTAACAAACACCACTGTCTTTTCTCTGTCATAAGCATGAGTTGGAGGGTTCAAATAATTTGCAATAAAAGAGGTGCAGGACCACACATGGAAAGAGGCTGGAATAGCTCCTGGTGGGTGTTTAGTGTGGAGTGTTGGGTGTTAGGTGCTGTATTAGGTTGTTAGTGTTTGCAGGAAACACTGTAGCTCTTTCAGCTAAGTCTTTCCTGCACCAGGAGGGGATGGAATTAGGATTGCTTGGAAGACCTTCATTTTGGCATGTCCTGACTGCAGTTCTTCTACAGCTTTCTGATCACCTTTCCTAGTGGTGATCAGGAATGTAGATGGTGTGTGCAACCACTGGACATGACTTTGGAAGCAAACTGCTACCATGGGATAAGGTGTGTGGATACACTGCATAGTTCCAGCATTACTTTCCCAGGTGTTTGTAGAGGGGTGCAGTTCTGTGGAGGAAATAAATTACTGTACCCTTTTCCGTGATTATTTTTTAATTGTACTTTGCAATGTTTGGTAATAAATCTGACTACTTGGAAGTTTAGAAAGGAGGGCAGACTTTGTTTTTGCTTAGTTTTGAATAAGATGCCTTTGTAGTATTATTTGGAGTTTGAGCTGCATTGCAGTTGTGATGACTGAGAAAAAAAATGTACCATGACACCTTTATCTTTGTGTGTGCTAAAAATGTACTGTGTGCTGATTTGGGAGTGTGCAGGGGGTTGGTTGTGTCCTTGCACTGGGAGAGGTTTATAGAATCCCAGAATGGTTTGGGTTGGAAGGGACCTTAAAGCCCATCCAGTGCCACCCCTTGCCATGGGCAGGGACACCTTCCACTATCCCAGGTTGCTCCAAGCCCCGACCAACCTGGCCTTGGACACTTCCAGGGCTGGGGCAGCCACAGCTTCTCTGGGCAACCTGTGCCAGGGCCTCACCACCCTTGCAGCCATGAATTCCTTCCCAATATCTCATCTATCCCTGCCCTCTGGCAGTTAGAAGCCATTCCCCCTTGTCCTGTCCCTCCAGACCCTTGTAAATGGTTTCTCTTCATCTTCCCTGCAGGCTCCTTCGGGTCCTAGAAGGCCACAATGAGGTCTTCCCAGAGCCTTCTCCAGGCTGAACAGTCCCAATTCTCTCAGCCATTATTTATGCTGAAATGTAACTGAGCATTGTGTGTGTGAGGGCTGAGATGTTTTTTATGCTCTTCCATACTATGTGAGTTGTGACAGTATTAAAAAAAATGAAAAAATATTGTTGCAGTTTTCCGATGCTTTCCAAAGAGCTGCGGTTTGTTGTCTCGGGAACCGAAGTACCATGGCATAGCAAAGGACGTTGTTGTTTTCCCTGACTCTCCCAATTTTTCTTCCCTAGACCGCACCCATGGAGCACATTCAGGGAGCTTGGAAGACTATCAGCAATGGGTTTGGACTCAAGGATTCTGTGTTTGATGGCCCCAACTGTATTTCCCCCACCATTGTGCAGCAGTTTGGGTACCAGCGCCGAGCCTCTGACGATGGCAAAATATCCGACGCTTCCAAAACCAGCAACACCATCCGCGTGTTCCTGCCCAACAAGCAGCGCACCGTGGTGAGTCTGGGCTGCCTTTATCCCAGGAGTGTCCTGTCCCCACTGCTGACACTGGGATGTGTGTCTGGCTCCAGGAATGCCAGGCTTCACAAAGGGTCTTGCTGTGACTCGGGGTGTTACCAGTTGGTTCATTCTAGGGGACATATTTTGAAAGCGCTGTATCTGTATGTTGAGAACTTGTATTCCTCTGCCTCAGTGCTGGGAATTTTCTAATATACACAAGCTGCATCCTTTGCTTACATAAATCACGTTAAAAAGCAGTTGTTGGCTGGCCCAAACAATGATGTCTGTAGGACAGAGAGTCTTTTCTGTCACCGTTTTCCTCACTTTTATGGCTACAGTCAAGTGTGGTGGTTAAAGCTGAAGTGAAACTTCTTGAGGGAGCACTTCTGTTCAGCTTCTTGGAGCTGAGAGTACTAATAATAGTCTGACACAAAGTTCCCTGAAATCTAAATTAAGCCTTTGCCTATACTTCACGTAACTCTGTTTGCCTGCATTTTTTATTTACTTCTGTGGGCTACCTACTTGTATAAAATCCCATTTGATAGAAACTTAGGAGTTGTAAGAAACCAAGAAGTTTATGAAATGGCTTTAAAACTTCCTTTGCAGGAGTACTCAATAGGTGGGGATGTGGCAGCAGATGTGCTGCCTGGCAGGTTGGCTTCATGTGCAGCGAGTTAAATTGGAAGGCACAGCACTTTTGTGGTTACATCATACAAGTAATTTTTGCTTATCTGTTTGTCCAAAGTAAACAGCTGTGCAGTTTTACTGGAATTTCTCAAGAAAATGAGAAAAAAGATGGCCTTCCACTCCTGGAAAAGCTTAAAGAAATTCTGCAATCCCTGATAAAGGTTTTGTTGGCTTTGTTTCCCTTTGGTCACAGGTGAACGTGCGAAATGGGATGACCCTGCACGACTGTCTGATGAAGGCACTGAAAGTGAGAGGGCTGCAGCCAGAATGCTGTGCAGTTTTTCGACTTCCTGAAACGAAAGGGTAAGAGGAGAACTTTTCAGCTAGAGAATAGGAAAATCTTGGGTTTGGCATAGCAGCAATAACGCTCTTCTCTGTGGCTGGGTTCTTTTGAAAGCACAGTTTGGTTGTGAACTCTTCCGTGGTGCTTTCCTTACCCTCCCCTGGGGATAATCCTTCAGCTTCCAGGGTATTTACAATTTTACTTTGGTTTAAAGTTAAATATTGAAAATACTTAAAATGGAGGGGTTCACTCAAGTGCTTGGAAGGTCTCACTGAGACTTTTGTCATGCTCTGGAATAAGTGATGCCTTCATATTTGAGGTGCATTTCACTGCTGCATTGGGAAACTTCAGTGCTAGTGATTCTTAGCCAGCTTAACTGAATGTCTCTGTGTGCTCAGTTTGGAGGCTCTGATTCCTATACAGCTTTCCAATGTTTGGTTTTAAATCTCACTTCAGATATTCCTTATTTTTTTGTAGGACTGGGGATGCTGCTATTAAATACCAAATGATTGTTTTACAAGCTGAGGGAGTGAAGGTATCTCATGGCGTTAATACACTTAACTTCACACCTCGTGAGGCTTGGGCTTAATGCTCCTGGAAGCCTCAGTCACGAGGCAGGAATTTGTGGGGTTACCTCTCTGTGGAACTCAGGCTGTTCTGAGGTCACCAGTAACTTCAGTGCCCAAGCACTTTCATGTCACTGAGTCTGTCGTTCATAATTCCTTATGTTTTGTTTGCAAGGGTGTTTCTGTGACTCCATTAAGACTTCCAAGTGTCTTATTTCAAATAACATATATATAAAATGTCTTAAATGTTCAAAAATGAGCAGAGAGAGTGGTGACCCGCAGCGCGTTCAAAGCTGCTCCCCGTGTTTGAAGTGAGGGACAACAGGGATGTAGCTCCTGTAAGAGGCTGGCCGTGCTTTGCTTTGTATTTTTCAGTTTACTCAAGAAAACTCACACAGCACAGATTGTTGGTTAGGCCAAACTTTTTATCTCCTAAGGAATTTTGTCTTCTCTGTTTTCTCCCTCAGAAAAAAGGTGCGTTTGGATTGGAACACGGACGCTGCCTCCTTGATTGGAGAGGAGCTGCAAGTGGACTTCCTTGATCATGTTCCGCTCACTACACACAACTTTGTAAGCTTTGCCTTGTCTGTATTTTGGTGTAAATTGTATTAATTGAACCACGTACTCAGTCAAAGAATGTTTTGGGCATTAGACAGCTTTTGGCTTCCTAAGCACAGGGATTTTCAGAAATGATAATTGATTCCTTCACCCCTGCTCCCCGCAAATTAGACTGGCTAAGTATCAATTTGCATTGAAATGCCAGAATTGTATTTATTTCATTAGTGATTCCTGGGTGTCAGAGACTCTGAAAGCTCACATTATGCATACTCTTCAAAGGTCTGATGATTGCCATTTTTATTTTATATAAATACGTATTTATGTAACTGTTGTATTAAGATATTGTGTCTTTAAAGTCCAGAACTGTGAGATAATTTGCATTTTCAGTCTCTGACTCATCAGTCGAAAAAGGCTGGATAAGTTCAGGACATTTATTGGACTGATGGTATTTGTACTGAATATACAGGGAGACTGTTAATTCTGCAGGTTGTGACATTGCTCTGTGAGCTAATGCTGCCCTGTAGTTTGACAGAGTGGTTTTTTGGGGGATGAAAGGCTAAAGGCTTTCAAGCTCCTTCTCAAAAATGGATTATTTATTCAATAATAAATAAGGTTTGTGTTTTAGGGTTTGGGTATATGTGTGGATTTTTTTCCAGCTCTTCCATTATTTCCTTCTTCATGGGAAGGAACTCCATTCCTCTATTTTAGCCTGTTTGTTGTTTTGTTGCAGAAATATGTTGTGCTCAGTGGCAAACCTGAAGGATTGTCATTTCCACCCATTAGAAAGATTGGGATTGATTTACAAAATCTGAAAGTAGCATTAATTCTACTTGACATTTTTAGAAAACTACACAAAAAAAATCATCTACAGTTGGTCACCAGAAAATGAATATATTTCTCCAGATCTGAGAGGAGCTCAAACTTCAAGATTTCCTCCCTAGTATGTTCTGGAGGAAGAAACCCTTTGGTTCATTATACTCTTTTTTCGTATTGCAGAAGCTTCAAGAGAAAAATGTATCCTGCCATTTAAGAAAGTAGAAATTCCTTAAGCTATTTTATTTACTAAGGAACTTATTTCTTATGCAAGGGATATTGGTTAGTCATAAACATACCCCAAGGGTTTTGACTAATAAAAATAATAACGAAGTGGTCCTTACAATCAGATCCTTCTTCCTCCCTGGTGTTACCAAAAACAAACAAAAAACCCCAGTTCTTGGCCCACTGAGCTCTGTCACCTTACTGGGCAAAAAAATTGCTTTTGCCTTTGACAGAACACTTTTTTCTTTCTTTTTTTTTGTAAACAAAGCCCTGAGTGTGTCTGAGCTTTCCAACCAAACTGGAAATCTATGCAAGAATATCCAAGTGCGGTTTTCAGTTCAGTAGCAGTCTGGGGGCACTGATAACAAATAACAGGGTGCTCATTTCTGCCAGGCTCTGCAGATCCCAGTAGGGGCTAATGAGGAGCAGTCTGTAGGTGGGATGAATGATTTGGGGTGTTTTCCAGGCTCGGAAGACCTTCCTGAAGTTGGCCTTCTGTGACATCTGCCAGAAGTTCCTGCTCAACGGCTTCCGCTGTCAGACCTGTGGCTACAAATTCCACGAGCACTGCAGCACCAAGGTCCCGACCATGTGTGTGGACTGGAGCAACATCAGGCAGCTCTTGTAAGGACTGTTTGTTTTTAATAGCAGCCGGGATTTCTCTGTGACAGACAAGCATTTTTTTATCTCTTATCGTGCTGATAAATTTGGATGGTTGGGAAGTGGATCAATATCCAGGATTGTGCATTGATTTCATGAAACAGCCAGCAATGATTGTCTCTTCCCAGGGAAAGAAGGCTGTTTATGTTCAAGGCATTTTGCTCTGGCACTAAATTTTAATATTCTGGGACAAGCAAACAAATATCCTGAATGACCCTCTGTTTGAACAGTGATAGCAATTCCTCGCATAACACTTTTGTTAGGAATAAAAAAGGCCATGATTCAGTTGGTTTCTAGCTGTTGGAAGCATTAGCGTGCAGAACTGCACAACTTCTGACACCCTGCTGAAAACAAATAGGATGGTGAGAAAACAGATGAAGAATAATACTTTCCTAGTATTGCTTAAAAAAAAGTTGAAAATCATTGTTAGAAGTCCTTTCATGCAAAAGTGTTAAAACCTGGAATCGTTTTTGTGTCTTAGTGATTGTATTTTTTTATAACTGAACTTGCTCATGCAGTTATGCATTTTCTCATGCTGACCAGTTATTAGAGCGTAGGATGACTTGGTGCTACCTGGGTTTAATGGAACTTGAAAAACATGGGTCAAATACTCTTTCAGGAAAATCTGAAGTCTCTGAAGTTTAGAAGGAACACATGGACATTGTCTTTTGGAGTCTGAAGGCAGAGGTTTTAGTCGTACCACAGACAGGGGGAAAACATGATGCAAAAACAGGAATGTGTTCATGAAGTTCATTATGCTGCAGAGAAACAGCCCTTTGAAATTAGAGCTTTAAAGAGCATTGTACAGGAGGTAGTGTAGCAGTTGAAGTTGTAATTGTTTTTGTTGATATTTCAGATTGTTCCCAAATTCAAATATCAGTGACAGTGGTGTCCCTGCACTACCTCCCTTGACAATGAGGCGGATGCGGGAGTCTGTCTCCCGGCTACCTGTTAGGTAAGATAGTATTGCCTGTCATTTCTGCTTTGGGAAATACAGTTGTTTCAAAACAAACAGTCAAAACCAACAAAAGACCCCCAACTCCTCAAAAGCAGAAGGTTGGGATGAATGTGCAGGGTGGCAACACCACTTCCTCACAGATAATATGCAGTGTCCTTTCTTGTTCTTGAATTCAAGCAGACCATTGATTTGAGATCTTATATTTTTAATTTTCTGTCTTAAAATTGTAAGGAAGGGTTTTTGGAGACCTTTGTTTTTCTGCCTAAGAAAATTCAAGGCTCCCTTTTGGTATTTTTGTGAATGAATTTTATTTTATCCGATCAGACAGTATGGTGCATCAGGGGTTTGTGTCGTGCTGGATGATTTGCATACGTTAAAATAATGCTGTGATGTTGTGATGACAGGAGTTTAAAGAGAGAACAGTGAGACCTGAGAATTGCTCCTCCTAAAGAAAATTTTGATGCCTCAAGAGAACATTCTTGTAGTTTTAAATGCTAAAATAAAACATGCATTCCTTTCCAAGGGGCCTGTCTCCTGATCCTAACTTGTGCCTGTATTCTTTTCCTTGAAATTCTAGAGGCTGAAGACGGCAGGCCAGCTTTTGTTTTTTCTGCATCTCTTTGAAAAATCTTGGCCTATTCAGGAATGAGGCACAAAGCACATAGTTGACTTGCAAATGGTTCTATGTATTTCTTTATTTATTTTAGTGGGAACTCCATCAGAATTGATCTTTGCCATCTCATTCTATTTCTGCTGTTGTTAAACAATGACTTACTAATTTGATAGATGTTTTTAAGCTTTTTTGTGAAGACTGGCTGATTTCAGTTAAGATACATGTGTGTTTTGGGATAAATATGGTTTGAGTGACCTTAACTGTGATTTGTAACTTTCTGTGGAACTGGATTTTTTAACTGGTGTTGAGTTTCATGACTTCCTTGCTGGCTGTTCTGAGCAAAGCATTGAACAGTCTTGCAAACCTTGACAAATTCAGGGCTTAGCTCTTAAGCTGTACATTCAACAGGCTTGAAATGAGCAGTTTGTTTAAGTTTTACAGCCCTGAATGCATCTATCAGAGCCAGTATTTTGTCAGCACATTAAATGTGATTTGATGGGGATTGAGGTGAACTGTGGCAAAATTCGTAATGGCAGAAACAGTCTTATGTTAAACACGCTAGTGTTTGTATGTGAGCTGTCAAGAACTTTGAATTTTTTCAGTTTATTTCCTAAGTTAAACTGGGAATGATTCAGCTGACCAGACAGTGTAGTTGGTGTGAAAGTCCCAGCTTTTTCTCTGATTGGAATTCTGTGTATATTGCTTTTGGATAGGTTACACTGAACAGTGTTTTTCAGTTGCTAGTGGGGAAAAAAATAACCACAACTTTCCCTTTCTCTCTCTCTCCTCAGTTCCCAGCACAGGTATTCTACACCTCATGCCTTCACATTCAACACCTCCCATCCTTCCTCTGAGGGCTCTCTGTCTCAAAGACAGCGATCCACATCCACACCAAATGTCCACATGGTCAGCACTACAATGCCTGTAGACAGCAGGATAATTGAGGTAATCCTGGGAGGAGGGAGCAAGTAGCATAAAGTTAAACTAAAACTCTGAGTGGCCATCTAATAAGTCACCGATTGGGTTTTCTTCTTTGCTTTCTGTCATTAGCTTACTGTTGGCCTTAGTTGGCTGAGTGATGTACAGTATAGGTGACACATCTGCATAGAAAGTTAATAATTCATTCTTGCAGTCTATCAACTTTGCTGAACTGATAGGCAGATTTTTGGTGTATGTCAGGATGTGGTGGAGCTTAACAATTGAGTTTTCCAGATCTGAAGAGAAAATAAGCTCATCTTTGCTGAAGAAATACCTGTTAGGCATGTCTAAAAATGTTCTTTCAAACTTAAAAGTCTGGGTTTGTTGTGGGGTTGGTGTTTGTTTTAGGTCAGACTACAGGTGCTGTAAATCTGGGTGTAGTTCTTGGACTTGGAATACTCAAGTCAAAGCCTACTGGTGATATGTTTTGTGTTATCCCTGTAGGATAACAGTGATTCTGGGTTTGTGGGCTAAAGCCAGCTTATCTCAGGGTACTTCTGCTGTTACTTGCTTCAAGCACCTTTTTCTTTTATTTTCCTACCTTGGACTGGCAGTAGTGAGGGACAACTCTTTGAAGTCAGACCTAAAGTGGTTGGGGTTTTGTTTAATTTTGTTTTGTGATAACCCTGACAAAATGAGGGTGTGGTGTGCAGGAAAGGCTGGCAGAAGGGAATGCTGAGCTGCAGGACCTCAGACAGAGCACTGTTTGGTGGTTTCTTCCTCTGGAGTAGTTCAAAAACTCTTCAGGCCAAGCAAAAGCCTTTGACTGCGGAGTTCAGGTGCATCTTCAGCTGCTAGTTCAGAGCCCTCTGTGGCATGTGAAGGCTGAAGTGTGCTGCAGAATTCCTGTGGCCCTTCGGGAGGGAGGGACAGTGCCCTACAGCCCCAGGAAGTGTTTGTGGTTGGAAGCTTTGTGGCCCCTTTCTCTGGGGTTTCCTTAGGCTCACAGCCTTTTTCAGTGCTTCAGAACCCTGCTGACCATCTGTGGTGGCACCAAACATGATGGAGCACTCAAAGAGAGATGAATTACCTTTGCAGAGTGATGGGACTTCAAGGAGACGTTGCTTTCTTTATTCGTTATCAGAGCAGTAAAGACAGAAATGCTTTCTGTTCTGGCTCTTCACGTTATCATAGGGATTGAGTAAAAACACTTGGTGTGTCTTAAAGGCTTTTCCAAAAGGCTTTAAAAGGGTCCCAGAGCAATGCAGAAAAAAGGGAGTAGAGACCTTTTAGTATGTCAGGAGAAAGATCACCTTAAGGTGGTTTACCAGAGGCAGGTGTTAGTGAACTTTGATTTGAGCAGGAATACTTATTTGAAAATTTTACTGCACTTACTTACCATTTATCAACCAAATTAGGTTGCTTTTTCTTTACTTTAGCCTAACATTTTAAAATTATTTTTTATACTTCCTCTGTTCTTTTCTTTTATCTCTTACCATGTTGGCCTAGAATAACAGCCTGAATGCTTCTCCCAGTTCCTGGTGCAGACGGTTTTGTTTGAGGGGAAGAGTAGGTATTTTCTTGGTGCCTTTTGTTTTCTTGTGATTAACAGGATTGCTATAACTCATAAGCCATGGCAGTGTCCACGTGAAGTGTTTAATCAGTGGAGCTGATTGGATGGAAACCTTTGTAGCATGTTTATACCTAAATATTGAGGACACTAATTGGAAGAGGCAAACTGATGGAAGAGCTTCCTTTCTGTTGAGCTGAGTGGATTCAGAGCACTGTGAATTGGAGGAGCCTTGGATTAGAGATGCCTTTGGTCACACAGCCCTTAAAGCAGAACCTTCTCAAACACATCTGTTGTGTGGCTTTTTCCTTCTGGAAACTATTTATATTGACTATAACCATACAGAGCCCTTAGACTAAGAACAGATACTGTTTTTATTTCACATGAAAGTAAAGTTGACAGACTACAGCACTTGTATGGTGTTACTTGTGTTGGGAGAACAACTCCAAGAAAGTGGGTTTGCTTCATTTGCTGTTGGATTCATAAGCAAAGAAGAAAATATTCAAATCAGGGTTGAAGTTCAAAATACTTTTTTAAAGTAAGAATTAAGTGTACATAAGTATGAGAACAGTTGAAAATTCTTTAGTTATTCTTTAGCCAGCTTAATTTAAAGCAGTTATGTTCTCAGGCTGATGTACAAAACCCACCACTTGTTATTAATTCAGGTTCTGAGAGGTTTTTATTGTCCTTCAAATGGACAAAGTAATAATTGCAAGAGTCATTGATAGTTTATGCAGATTTTAATCCACTCAGGTGTTGAGTGCAGGAGTACTGTGCATAGTCAAGCCTGGGAGAATGCAACCAATTGGCTAAAATTATGCATTTCATAAATGAATCTTTGCTAAGGATAATCTTAATTTGAAACTGTACAGTGGAATGTAGGCTTGTTCTGTCCTTCTATGAAATCTTACATTTATTATTCTACTAACTAGTTAGTTTGAATTGACTTCTGTTAACTCTGACAGTATTTAACATTTCTGTAGTGCATGTTCTTGCTTTGTACTTATACAGTCCCTGGATATTTTACCTTTCCTGTATGTTCTTTGGGATAATCCCTAGCAGGTGAGAAAAGCTGTGCAGTCCTGTTTGTCAGAGCTTAGTTTTCCTTGTGCATGGCTGTAGAGTTGTGTTGTGCCTGTGGCATGAGGTGAGAGCTGTCACACTGTACCAACAAGTGCCCTGTGCAAACCCACACTTTCAAATGCCAGACTGGAACCTGGGGGGAGATGTCCTGGGAACCAGGAGGTTTTGTATGAGGGCACGAATTGTAGCCTTTTTTTTTTTTTGGGTTGAAATAGTAGAGGAGAGATGTTTTAAAATGTATATTGAATTGGAATATTTTAGGCCTTTTTTTTTTTTTTAAGTTTTCCTACTTGTAACCCAAAACCTGTTTGGGAACTTGTCCCCTGGAGACAGAGGCCATCCCAGGAGCTGTCCCAGCCCTCAGACACAAGCATGTCCCAAGTGCAGGGGGGGAATGCAGGCAGCATTGATGGTGTTCTTCTTGTTCTGTGTCTTTTTTTTCCTCCCACTTTCCTTCTTTGGTAGTAATACCCTTTAATATGCTGTGACTCTTTTCATGTTTTGTAAGAATTCACAAATTGCATGGGTTTAGCATACAGGATTGTTATAACTAGGAAATCACCTATCTTTAGGAGGGTGTTGGCCAATATTGCACTCAACCAAAACCGGCAGAACCAATTTCAACACCATTCCTGCTTGTTCCTTTGTGTGCTCTTTGATGTTTATTAACTTCATTATCCATCTTCCCTGTTTTAGGATGCAATTCGAAGCCATAGTGAATCAGGTATGTTTTCAAAAACTTAAATAATTTCTAATACTATTTTGATTGTTTATTTTCTTGTTCATGAATTATTTTTCTTGTTTCCATATTTAAGCCTCACCCTCTGCTCTGTCTGGAAGTCCTAACAATATGAGCCCAACTGGCTGGTCTCAGCCTAAAACCCCAGTCCCAGCCCAAAGAGAGAGAGCTGCTGGATCTAATACACAAGAAAAGAACAAAATTGTAAGGGTGGTAATATTTGTTTTAATTTAAAAAAAAAGTTAGATTAGGCTGGGAGTAGGGGTGTGTTGGGATAAATTTCTGCTCTTAAAAGGCATTAAAAGCTGCTGGTAGTGTTGGATTGCTCTGCACTGTGTATGTAGTAGCAATGTAATTTGAACTAATTTGGGAACGATCACTATTGCGTTGGGTTATAAATGCTCAGAACAAAGTGTTCTGCATTGAAAATGAATTTCAGACAGCAGCGTGAAATTGTTTTCCAGTGCAGATTCAAGGATTACCTTTTAAATCTTCAGAGGCTGCATCTTTTTTATTATTTTTAGTATGTTTAAGGTTAGCCTTATTATCACTATTATCCCTGTGTTGCCATAGCTTCCATAGAAAGTGGGTATTAATAGTGCCTTCATTTTCATGGCAAGTTAGTCAGAATGGCTCAGGGAGAAATAGCTTTAACAAAATGCAAGTTTTCCCTCAAATGTTTGATTTAAACTTAGATGATGGAGCGGGGAGAAAGAATAGTTAGAGTAATAATTAGTTATATTTTTTTCAAAATGCAAGTACAGTTGCTAAGTGGGACTCAACAGTTGTTACTCACTTGGACATCTGACATTTCACTCTCATATTTTTGTTTTATTCCTTTTAAACACATAAAGAGTTCCAGAATTTTAGCATTGTCATTTTGAAGAAGCCAGTAAGATTCTTAAGTATTTCAAATGGCTTTAAATAGTTGATTGTAAAATATTTGTTCTTAAGATCTAAGATTAGGGTTTAAGTTTCTAGGGCAGAACTGAGGATAACTTTTTAAAGCAGTTCAAGCCATCCAAGAAAGTGGATGAGGAGAAAAAGAAAAGTCCAGATTGCAGGACAAAACCCTCAAGGTTTCAGGTCTTATTTTTTGTGTGTGTGTATATAATACATTTGATTAAAAGGTAAGAGTAAAAGCCATGTCAATTTTTGTTCCAGAGGCCTCGTGGACAGAGAGATTCCAGTTATTACTGGGAAATAGAAGCCAGTGAAGTCATGCTTTCCACCAGGATAGGGTCAGGTTCCTTTGGAACAGTTTACAAAGGCAAATGGCACGGTGAGTTCTTGACTTGGCACCATCTCACAGTGTTGATGTGGTGGGACAGCACTCCTGAAAAAGGGAATTTAATGATGCTCTGCGCTTTTCTACCACCACAGGTAGTGGGTGAGAAACAGTAACTTCCTTACTGTAGCAGCACTGAAATTAAGGCAAAGAACAGACATTAATCAGACATTTCTGTCATTCACGATTTTTCTGCTCTTCCCGGATAGAAGATTTATCCCTCCCCTTCCAAAATAGAGTAGTATCTAAGTCTAGAAAGTTTGCTTTTTAGATAAAGTTTTGTTAAAAAGGTTATGTATATATATACATATAAACATTTTAATATTTAAAGTTAATTATAAAAATGCTGAAGCTGGATAGCAAAATGTTGACTTACATGCAAATTAGTAGAGGTGTATTGTACACAAATTAGGAGTTTTAATTACACTGCATATTAATGTTATTTTGGAGAGGAGGAAAAAAAAAAAAAGCTACATTTTTAGTAACTTTTATGGTCAATGTATTTTCAGGGGATGTAGCAGTGAAGATACTAAAGGTGGTAGATCCAACCCCAGAGCAGTTCCAGGCTTTCAGAAATGAAGTGGCTGTGCTGAGGTGAGTTGGGGTTTCACTGCTAAACTCCTTTATTCCAAGGCTCTGTGTTTGATTCCCACCCCTCCTTTAAGCCTTTTTGCCCAGTATTCTGTGTTTGATAGATACAAAAAGCAGATCTTCAGAGAAAAACAAAAACATTTACATTGACAATTCTGACTGTTGCTGTGGAACTGTGAGACACAATCACAGCTCAGAGGCTTTCAGGGGTTCTTGGCTGCTTCTGAAAGTTGTGTTTTCACCTCAGTAGTGCAAACACCCAGAATTGTTCAGGTCACCTCGGGCAGGAAAAGGTGAGGTTTAATAAATTCTGTCATAATTCTCACCATCAGAGGACTTGAACTCATACTTGATACTTTTAAAATTGCATTTTTTTTAATGCTTAAACATGTACTTTGATCCGAGAACTTTTTGCTTTGAAATACTGGGGGTTTTTTAGTGTTTGAATAACTATCTGTGATTGTTCCTCCTGAAACTGAATTCTTTAGATACATAAAACCCATCTTCTCATCTGATAATTCCTTCAGTTTATATAGACCCTTTAGTTTCCTCTTGACATTAATTTTTCTCTCTAAAGTTGTCACTCTTGCACAGTTTTCAGGATGATTCTGTTGTTCCAGTAACTCTTTCTAATACCACTTGCAAACGTGAATGTTGGTCATTGATTTCAAAACACTCAAATCTTCATGACGTCTTTTCCTTAAATGTTGATTTTATATAACTTCTGTGGAACTAAAAAGCAGTATTTTAACTAAAATTTTAACTAAAAAAACAACTGATTTTATTAAAAAAATATAAATTGGCAACCCTGGCATATTTTTATTGTTTGTAAAACCAAACTTTAGTCACATATCCAGCTTGGAAAAATTTTGCAGGAAACTCATGTTTTTTGGCCTCCAAAGCTGAAATACGTTCCTTCAGCCAGGAATCCAGTTTTAAAGGCCTTTGAACACGTTTTTTATGGAGACACTGATTTCCCTGTCTGCTCCTTTCTGTTAGGAAGACTCGGCACGTGAACATCTTGCTCTTCATGGGCTACATGACCAAGGACAACCTGGCCATCGTGACCCAGTGGTGCGAGGGCAGCAGTTTGTACAAACACCTGCACGTCCAGGAGACCAAGTTCCAGATGTTCCAGCTCATCGACATCGCCCGGCAGACAGCACAGGGCATGGAGTGAGTGGGATGGACAGGCCTGGCCTTGGCCTTGCAATGGGGTTTGCCTTCCCTTCCTCAAACCCTGGCATGGGGAGGCTGTGCTGAAATAGGAACGGGGCAGAAGGGGCTGTGCAGCCTCAGCTCAGCACTGTTGGGGGCAGCTGTGCTGCTGTTCGGGCATTTGTCCCTGGGGATTCTTCAGATCACAGGGTCAGGGAATGGGTTGGGTGGGAAGGGACCTTAAAGCCCATCTCATTCCACCCCCTGCCATGGGCAGGGACACCTTCCACCAGTCCAGGTTGCTCCAAGTTCATCCAACCTGGCCTTGGACACTTCCAGGGCTGGGGCAGCCACAGCTTCTCTGGGCAACCTGTGCCAGGGCCTCCCCACCCTTACAGGGAAGAATTCCTTTCTAATATCCCATCTATCCCTGCCCTCTGGCAGTTAGAAGCCATTTCTCCTTGTCCTGTCACTGTCTGCCCATAGAAATCCCCCTTCCTCCTTTTTATAAGCTCCCTTCAGGTCCTGGAAGGACCCGGGAGGTCTTCCCAGAGCCTTCTCTTCTCCAGGCTGAATAAACCCAGCTCAGTTCATGTCACTTATCAGTCACCTCTTCTGTATTTTATCTTGTATAACTTGAGGTTGTTATAACACACTAAATAAGATCCTGTTCTAAATATACAATTAAGGGGTTTTTTCTTCCCCCTGTTGCTGTAACATTGCAGTGTTTGACAACCACTAGTTTATCCTGCTGGTAGTTCTGTGGGATGAGGGAGTGGCTGTTCCTACTCTGCAGCTCCAGGACTCGCTGAGATACATCCTGCAGATGTGTGAGTTGACTGAGGCCCCACCTCACTGCTCTGCCAGCACTTGTTCTGATGCTGGGAGCACACAAGGTGCTGTCAGTGCTCATCCATTTTGTGCATCAGGACCCAGGTTTCCAGTCAGACCCCCAGCAAACTGGGGACATGTAAATGGAGAGGGTTTGTGAACAGTGCCCTTAGCACAAGGGACAGATTTCCTGCACAGGAGGCCAGCCCCAGTTCTGCAGGGTGAGTGTGAGTGATGCCATCCCTGTGCCCGAGGTGCTGTCCTGCATTCAGCTCATTGTTTAGAGTCTCCTCCTGGTGACCAGAAGTGCCTTCATCCTGTCCCTGGACTCAGGCCAGAGGGGTGAGCAGTGGTTGAGTGTGCCATGAACTGTCCTGGGGGCTGGGGGTCAGTGGAAAGGCTGTTTGGGAGCAACTTTGGGAATGACACTGCTCTGCTTTTCCTTCACAGCTATTTACATGCAAAGAACATCATCCACAGAGACATGAAATCCAATAGTATCCTTTCTTAATGGTCCTGCCTTCAGTGGGAGGGTGATTTATTGGTAATGGAGCTTTTGGGGGGATTGAAATAGCTGTGTCATAAATATATAAATATTATAATATATATATATATATATATAAAATAATGAGCAATTCCTACCGATGAGCAAGAAGCTGCTTTTTAGGGAGGACTTCCATAGGACACATGTGCTTGCTTTTCATACTCTTGGGGTAAAGATGTGCAACAGTTGAGCTCCCAAAGTGTCTTGTTTTAGTTAAATGGTGTTCGTGCAATTGTCTGGTACCCTGGGACAGGCTGCATCTTCCCTTGATGGGAGCAGTGCCTGCTGATCTGTGTGTGCACATGGGGGGCTTGGGACTGTTTCTCATGTATTTTAATATATTTAGAACACCTCATGTGACTGCCAGAAATGAAGCCAAAAATCTTACTTTAAACTCAAGAAAAGGCAGCCTTTTACCACTATATTTTGTGCAAAAATACAGATTTAGTAATGCATGTGGAGTAAAAATGTTGCGAACTGATGTCTTTTGCCTTTGAAAGTGCCTGCTTTTGGAGTTGCCAGGAACAGCAGGAATTGTGGCTTCCTTCCATAAAATCCGAACAGGATGTTTTGAAAATGTCATCATAAAAAAAAATATGCCAAATTCAGTAGTTCCATAATGGGGATTCCCATTTTCAGTTAAACTAGAAATAGAATCATGTCAGTGTATAGGAAGTCAGGAGGTCGTAATTCCTGATAATGATTTTTGTGAAATAAATCAGCTCTGCTTCTGACATGGAAATTAGAGTCAGTCATGTTTATATTTCCCAATCATCTCTTTGAACTTAAAACATTTCTAAGTGAAATTGTTAAATGATATTTTAAAATAACCCCAGCAAAGAAAGTGCTGGCTATCAATCATAACAGGCAAATCTGTTAAGGAGATAATTACAAGTAGTACAGAATATTTCCAGTTAAAATAGTTACACTATGGTTAAATCTCAGGAGATCTGCCAGAGAGCTTTATGTAAATAGATTTATTTTATATTTACTTCTACTCGTAGGTTTGTTTGGTTTTTTGTTTGTTTGGTTTAGGAGTTTTTTTTTGAGTTGTGAGACCTCTGTGCTGTTTCCTTTTGTGTCTTGTGACACCAGTTCAGTATTTAGGTACCTGCAGGCATTGATGGTAATTAGCATTGTTGATTTCTGTCCTAACTCACCATAAAGATAGATGTACAAATAATGCTGAAACATCTGGTCTGGTTTAGTCTTAAATGTTAACTTTGTAAATATGGATGCCATAAACTGCTTTTCCTGTGTTGAAGATAGAGCTTGCAGCAGGTTTAAATAAAACAACCAGCAATATTCTTGGATAGTGGCTCGTGTTTGGGATCGGCAGACACTTTGCAGCCACGTCAGAAAATCCAAAGTGGTTTCCTCAGTTTTGCAGAGTTTCTTTAACAAGTCTTTAGATATATTTCTGCACGAAGGCCTCACAGTGAAGATCGGAGACTTCGGGCTGGCCACGGTGAAGTCGCGCTGGAGCGGATCCCAGCAGGTGGAGCAGCCCACGGGCTCCATCCTGTGGATGGTGAGCCAGCCTGCCCTGCCCCAACCCTGCCTTTGGGCCTCTTGTGTTCTGGCAGCTGGACACTGTTTGACACCTTAAACCTCAGTGAACGTGCTCTGAGTACTGTGGAGACTCTCCTTGCAGTTGTAGGTTGAGTTAAGATTGAAGCACGGAGTGCTGGAGTGTTCACTGTGCAAAGGGACACCAGGCACCTGAGGCTTCTCCTCTGGAGTGTTGGAGGTATTTAAATACTTAGGGCTGTCAGTGTGCCAGGAAGTGTCCTTTAAAAACATCAGGATGCTTGGCCAGGATCGGTTTGTGCTTTGTAAAATACACACAACACCTGAAACCAAGTTACAAGAGCAGAAATGTTTTTTTTTTCTTTTAGAAACGTATTACAAAAAGCCAAATTTTTTTACAGCTTTCAGTAAAAGGATTTAAAACTAACCCAGTGGATACCTGAAACAGATCTTGGGGAAAAAACCCTGCATATTTGTTCTTTGCAGGTTTTTTCCCATTTTAATCATTTGTAGCCCATCTTTGCTGAGCTGTCATCACACAGAAGGGGAGGTTGTTTCCGTTTCCTTGCAGGTTGCTCTGATCCCTTACTGGGGTTTTGTTGTGCTGTTGTATTTCAGTGCTTTGCTCAGTAATTCTGGGGGACTTCATTAGGGGGAAAAAAGTCTCAGTCAATGGGAAAGTTATTTGCATTGTTTCTCTCTGGTTTTGTTCAGTCATTCAAAGTTGTTTCCTTTAAGCTCTTCAGCTTCATAATTGTGCTGTGTTTTGCAAAGGTGCTGCAGTGCTCCTGCAGCTCTTCCCTGCTCTTCAATCTGGGCTGTTTCCTACTTGGCTTTCATGAAAATGTTTTGATACGGTTGTTATAAAATACCAAGTCTGTATTGGAATTGTGTGTTTTCCCTCTTTAACAGGGATACCTGTTTAAGAACTGATGGATAAAGTCTCAGGCTCAGCTCTCTGAGCCCCAGCACTGACCTTTTGATGGCACAGTGCCCGCTCAGCCAGAGCCTTGCTCGTGTGCCCTCAGTGTTTAACCCCCTCCTGCTGTGTTTGTTCCCTGCCCAGGCCCCCGAGGTGATCCGGATGCAGGACAGCAACCCCTTCAGCTTCCAGTCAGATGTCTACTCCTATGGAATAGTGTTATATGAGCTGATGACAGGAGAGCTGCCCTATTCCCACATAAACAACCGAGATCAGGTGAGGAACACGCTGGGACCAGCATTTGATTTCTGGGTATTGCCCATTTCACAGGATAAACACAAATGCAAAACAATTGAAATGTTATTTATAACCTGCTTTGTTTCAGCAGCAAATCTGTGTTACTAAATGTTGATTCAGTATTGACAGGGACAGTTACTCAACGGAAAAAAATTGGTTTTTATAAACACTGTAAGTGCCCTGTGAATTTATTCAGAGGTTAAAGCTTTAGGTACCTCAGTAAAATCTTGGTTTATACATTTGCGTTTATGTGAACTTTCCCTTTTGATGTTAAAAATGTTGTTCTTGTGTCAGGTTGGATTCTGTGCTTTTACTAAGGCAAAAAAATAGTGCCTATTGTCAGACCTTTAAATAAGGAACGTTGGTGTGATTTAGTCTTTCCTGAGCTGTAGTCACCCAACCAATAATGGTAAAGAAGCACATTGAGGCCAGAACCCCCAGCTGTTCTCTTCCCATGAACACTTCTCCTGGCTTAGCCAGTGTAGAGCCAATGCTGCAGGGCAGGAACTGTGGGATCTTTGGGAGCTGTTTTGATGATCCTCAGTTGTGGTTTGTGGTTTTGGTTGCTTTTTATAAAATTAAGATCTTCTAATGAGAAGTGTGTGTGTATGGAGATTATGGGGGCAAACAACTAGATTTTAGCCTCTATTAGTGACTCTAATTATAATCTGTAATAATTCACAGTCAGTGTTGTAAGTAGAAGAGGCCACTTCTGTTAAGCTAAGGAAGTTGTTTCTTATTTTAAGGTTGTCTACAAACTGGGCCATTGGAATATGCTTTAATTCATGATATTGAAATTATATGCAAGTTTCAATAACCATCACTGTTGCAAAACATGCAGCAGCTGACCCTCACATAAGTTTTCAGGAGGGACAGAATATTTCCAGGAGAAGAACACAAAGACATTATTTAGGATGAAAATCCTAAACAATGACCATATTAACCTGGATTAAAACAGAATAAATATTTTCCAACACTAATAACATCTTTTATTGTTTGTCTCAAAACAGTCCATTTCCTTTTTTGCTGCATTAGTTGTGATTAGTTCTGATGATCTCTTGCAACTGGCAGGCAGCTCCTTTTACAACATGACTTCAAGGTTGGACTTGATGATCTTGGAGGTCTTTTCCAACCTGAATGGTTCTGTGATTCAGAGATCCCTGAACATCAGGTTGTCACTGTAGACTCAGCAGAAGGAGCTCCCATGTCCATGTCATGGAGCACCAACAGCTCCTTCTCCTGCTGAGCCTTCCAAAGCCCAGCATTCCTGGTGCAGTCCCATCCTGCCCTGCACACAGGGGACCATCAGCCTGGTTAACTCACTGGGATAATCTGCAGGGCTCTGGGCTGTCCTTTGGGACTCAGATTTAATCACCACCAGTGAAACCACTTCCCTGACTTTGGTTTGTGCTGCTTCCTTGTTGTTCTGCAGATCATTTTCATGGTTGGTCGAGGTTATGCTTCCCCAGACCTCAGTAAACTGTACAAGAACTGCCCCAAAGCAATGAAGAGGCTTGTAGCAGATTGCTTGAAGAAGGTTAGGGAAGAACGACCTCTGTTTCCACAGGTAAGTGTGTTTTGTGCACAGGAGTTTCAGGGTATTGTATAAATAGCCATTAGCACACAAAAGAATCTGCTCAGGTGAAAGGTTTGGGTTACATGAAGTGCAGCTTGGTTCTTATTTTTGCCTTTGTTCATAACCCAACTCCTTTGGCAGTTGGTATTTCGGTTCTGCAAAGGTCACAAAAAATCATGACTCATGAAGCTGAGGCTGTGCCAGGTGACCCACTTTAGAGAGAAGCAAAAACCCACCCTAACACAATTAAAATCAAATCTGTTTCTCTGTATACATTTTATTTTAGTGCAGGTTTGAGGGAAATGAGAGACAACTCCTCCTTTCCTTCCCCACAACTAAAAACAAGCAAACAAAATCCACTGGGGGATGGAAATTCATGTAGCAATTTTTGGTATTTTTACAAGGGATACTTTACCTTTTTCTGTCACTATGAGGATGGGGAAGGTGCTTTCTTATTAAATAGCTGGAATTAAATATCAGCAGATTTTGGAAAAAGAACTTCTTGCTGTTTTAAACAGCTTGTTGTTTATAAAGTTCTTTCCAACAGTTCTTTGCAAACAGACTGTCAGGCAGAAAATGCAGTTCTTTCCCTGTTACTCTGCTGGGATTGCACAGATGCTTGTGAATTGACTGAGAACTAATGGAAAACCCCTTCCCACCCTCTGACCCTCCCTGAGGCTCCTCAGAGCACAGCCTGGCTGGTAGAGGTGGGTTATTGCAGCTGCAGTGTTGTGTTCAGTGCCCACAGAGCACATTGGCTGCTCTGCAAGATAAGCTTAAAGCCAGAACTGAATGGAGTTGGAAAGGAACTGAATGAAGGGATGAATGAAGGTTTAAGACTGACCTAGGCAGAGCTGCCTCTCTGAGCAGCCCCTAACTGGGTGTGTTCCCCCAGATCCTGTCGTCCATCGAGCTGCTGCAGCACTCCCTGCCCAAGATCAACCGCAGCGCGTCGGAGCCGTCGCTGCACCGCGCGGCGCACACGGAGGACATCAACGCCTGCACCCTCACCTCCTCCAAGCTGCCCGTCTTCTAGGCCTGCCCCTGCCCCGCTCGGGGACAGGCACACAGGGACACTTGTGCTCTCCGTGCCTCGTGCCCAGACCAGTGCCAGAGGGATCCCTGGTCCCCTCGTCCCAGCAAGCTGCTAAGGATCCGTGCTCAGCCCTCCCGGCCTGCCCTGCCGTGCCCTGGGCAGGGACAGACTGCAGATCAAGAGATCTATTACTGTTTTTTTAATAGATGCACTTGAGCCTTACTTTGCCCACGCCTGGAAGCAGATGATGTTCCTTTGGCAGTGGTTCTGGACGGGCTGGATCTGTGCTGAGGGGGTGTTTTCCACAGCCAGGGTGGCTCTGAGGACAAGGTCGTGGTGCTCTGATTGCCCCATGCCATGTGCCACCTCGAGGTGGGGGAGCTGTGCCTGCAATGGGTCTGCAAACAAGACTGAGGGAAGAGGAAATAACTCTGGAAATCAGCTCCTGCCCTAAGAGCTTCATCAAGCCAATGAAATAAGTTAAAATGCTAATTCAACACGAAATAGTTTTGCAATAGTTTTGCACATAGAAGAAAAACTCTTGCAAAAGAATGGAATCTGTTCTGAATTGTCCTGCTCAGAGAAGGAAGCAGCCAGTCATGGTCATCTTGAGAAGCCTCACAGCTGACTTTGGTACTAAGGACTGTTCCCTGCAGCCCAGGAGGTGGAGAGTGTGGAAGCACAGCCTTGGGGCTGGCAAAGGCTGAGGGACATTATCCGTCTGCATCCCATCGGAAGCTGTCGTGCAAGAGATGCACTATCAAGAGGAAACTGAGCATATACAGTTTTTCTTGCTGATTTGGGGTTTAATTTTGTTTTTATTGCTCCTGAGAAAATGCATTTATTGTAAGCCAAGGTTCCCCTGATTATCTTATTTTAATAAAATAAATTAAATTTTAGGTGTATGATTCCATGTCATCATTTAATGCACTACTTCATAGTTCTGACTGCTACATCTAGACTTGGAAAACTCAGAAAATGATATTCTGAGTACTTTTTAAGAGAGTTACTATGACAGGTAATAGTGCAAGTAAAAACACACTTGATACAACAACCTCTCCCATCACTCCCATGACTGGACAATTCTTACTGTAATAATCCTTCAGCAGCATCTACTCAAACCCACACTGATGCCTCTCAAGCTGTTTCACTGCACCAGTTTTGCTCTGTTTTCTCTTGTTTCTGTAGGGGGAAATGAGGGTTTTGTTTTGGCTGAACTCCCTGGATGACAGAAATAGGTGCTTTAATCTAAAAATCGGGTTTTTTTAAATAGCACTCTGTTTAAATATGTTTATTAGGGCAAGGATGGAAACCCAGATGGTTGGAATGGAAGTTTGGGATTTTGCCTTTCTCTGTGTGCACAGGGGAGTGGGGGCCCTGTCTGGGCAGGAGCAGTGAGTGGTGACTCGGGGCTGTCACCTCCACCCCAAATGGTGTCAGTGGGGACAGCTGCTGTGTCCAGCTCTTCTCTGTAATGACCACACAGACACTGCAGGTTCTTGAGTGCAGCAGCAAAACCCCACAAAGTGCTTCTGAAAGAGGGACTTGAGCCAGACACAGAAATAATATCTACACTGTCTGGACTTATGTGGCCAGTCTTCACGAACAAAGATTTTGGGAAAGGTCATTACCCTTTGAGCCTGTGCAGTGGGTTTTTTAGGTGAGACACAGTGTGCGCTGAACTGAGCCCACCCTTTCATCCTGAGCTTCATCTGCCGGGGCCGAGCGAGCTCGGACAGTGGCAGTGAGGTGCTCAGGACGTAGGTTTGTTTAGTGACCTTCTCTTGGATGGATGGCCGTAGGTTTGTTCAGTGACCTTCTCTTGGATGGATGGCCTTACAGGGCTGACGAGCTCCATCTGCCCAGAGGGGTTCCCTGCCCGGGAATCGAACCTGGGCCGTGGCAGTGAGAGCACCACATCCTGACCACCAGGGGACTTAGAACATTCCATAATGTAACAAGAAAGGTGGAATACTGATCCTTAGAGTGACCATAAACTTTGCTTGCTAAAAAGTAAACTGAGACTTGAGGGAAACTGCTCCAAATGGTTCTGCATGGGTTTTAATAATACTCTTGGTATTTTAACTGCAACTCTCTCTAATGTAATTTATCAGTAATTTTAACTTCATTATCAAAAGCTTAAAGAGAGGGAAGAAAAAACCCACCAGAAATGCTTGAGCTGCTTTTTACTTTAGCTCTAATTTCCCAAAAGAAACCATTAACTCTTGATTTTTAAAACAGATTCTGTGACTCTTAAAACATTTAAATATATTTGATAAATAGACTTATTTTAAGTAGCACTTGATGTCCAATTAAATGAAAGCTCCTAATTTAGAAACTCAGACCTTTTAAATCTTACTGCTCTTTAATTTAAACTTCTGTCTATGTTGTCCCCAGGTAGCTTTGGAAGACAAGTTGCCTTCTTAATTTCAGATCACTGCTCTTGGGGCAAAGTCAATCAGGAATGTCTTGTTTAAGGTAAAGAACATCCTTTCCATTGACTTTTTGGATGTATTTTATTTCTTTGTGGAAAAAATATGTACAGGAGCACCTAGAAACAAATTTCAGTGGGAGGGTAAGGGCTGTTGTGAGTATTTTGAAGTAGAAAGTATGTTTGGGCAGGTGCTCTTGAACATTCATCTTATTGTATGACACCTCAGTGATGATTTTCCTTCATCTTTGTAATTAGTGATGACCAGTTGTACTAACAGGACTTGAGTGAGACCTTTGCTGTGCCTCCATGGGCCAGTTTTGTAAAGCAGCTGAGAATTGGTGTTTGTTACAGACACAAGGCAAGGCCTGACTCTGCAGTAAGTACTGCTAGAAATTAACTCCAGGGGGAAATATTTCTGGGCAAGTTCCATTTCCCAGGTCAGGACAGAGAGCAAACCTGGCATGTTCAGTCTGGGGGAAGTGTTGGGCACAGAGAGGGCAGTTCTCCCCTACACAGGTGCTGGGCTGCCATCCAGGGCTTTCTCAGCTCCACTTCTGACCCAGAAAAGCCAACCAGCAGTGGATAATCCTGGGTCACTAACCGGGTACCACTGGCAGGTGTTTGAATCCCAGATTAAGGTTCCTCCCTTTTGCCTCACACCCAGGGGAGGTACCTGGGTGTTCCCACCTAACCCTGAAGGAACATTATCCACTGACCTTGGTGTTCCGTGGCTCTTCCCCTCCCCTGATGGATCAGGAATGTCACCATCACTGACCCATGGACATGCAAACTGCACCAACCAAACCTCAGCGCTGGATCCACATGGGGTGAGATCTTTCTACTTTGATGCTTCCTTTCTCTTTCTTTCTTTCCCTTATACACTTTCAGAAGTGTTACTGTTATGCCTTTATGTTGCTATATTAATATAGATAATAACCAAACTGACTCCATCCCTGCTTTCCACTTTAACTGAATCATTCTAAAATAAAGCCTACATATATGTGCATATACACACATACATATATATATTTACAGACACTGTTCGTTCATTGTGGTTTCACTCTAATCCCAAGGGATGTATTTAGAGAACCTGAGCTCCCCTCCCCTGCAGGGGCAGTAACAGCTCAGGTGTGTTCATGCTGTGACTCAGCAGCCACTTCACCTGTGTCCAGACACAATTCTTAGTTTAACTGCAAAGTTCATGCAAATGACTGAGCAGAATCAACTTTGTGTGTCAAATTTCACAATCTAACTCCCTTTGCAGCACAAACATGAATGCCATTTTTAACAAAACCAGAATTCAGTAAACTCTGTTCACTCAGCAGAGATGTGCCTAAATCCCTCACCCCTGCTGTGCCTCCGACATTGCTGGTCTTGCTCTGGGAAATGCAGATGGAGACAGAGAGCAGCTGCAGAGCCACTCCCAGTTCTGGGGCAGGACGGTGGATCTGATTACTGACAATATCTTTCTCTCATGCTGCAGTTTCCAAGCTCCAGTTTGTGCTGTAAGTTCAATTTAGCTCTGCCTTGTGACACCAGTGTTGCTCTGCTCGAGTTTCTGAATCAGTGCAGCTGCATTTGCTTTACAGCAGCTGCTCCAAGAGCCACTTCTTGCCTCCCTGTACTTCAGTTTGCATAAAACAAGGGTGGGAACCCAACTGGGACTGTCTGGGAGAGCCAGGCCTTGTCCAGCCCCACTCCCAAGACATCCACCCCAAGAGTGCAGTAAACTTTATCCTGAACTCTAGGTACTGTCTGAGGTATAATGTGTAAGGTCTTAAATCTCAGGTCTCCTTTTTAAGGAGAAAAATGTACACTAACCATTGTTCCCAGTGGGTTTTGTAGTTATACATTTAGTTGATTTAGTGGAGAAAACAAAAAAAAGCACCCAAACTCTATTTAGCAACAGTTTTTACCAGCTTAAGCTTTACCTGGCACTGTATTTACACTACCACTCAGTTCACAAGACAGCATATGTTGGGCCAGAGAGGGAGAAAACCCTCTTGTGATTAAGGGATTTCTTTTTTCCATGCAGTCAATTTTTTTTTTAAATATATTTTAGTATTTTTGTTGCCATACAAAAACTATCTGAAAACTTCACCGGGACTGCACAGTAAACCACAGGGCACGTTTGTTCTACCTGTGCTGCAGAGGGTAAAGGCAAGGCTAATCAACAGCTGCACTGCTGTGGGTGGGGGGCTGTGCTGTTCACTGGGCAGCAGTGGGGTCCTCCTCAGCCCCCGAGAGGTGCATGAACAGCTCCCCCAGCTCCGTGACCTGGTCCGTGTCCGGCGCCGCCCGGCTCTCCCTGTCCTCGATAAAGTCCCACAGACGCACCGAGTTGAAGAACTGCAACAGAGAGAGATGTGCCTGAGCAGGAACCAGCCCCAGAGCTGAACTCTGCCCTGGCAGCCCTTCCTCAGCAGAACAGCCCTGAGTTGGGACTGCAGAGCTGGGTTTGTGTGGTGAGCTCAGGGTGATGACCCCTCTCTGCACGAAGGGGGGAGTGGACACAGCCAGCACCAAATGCAGGCCAGGACGAGTTTCTGAGGAGGCTTTAAACCTTTTTAGCTGCCCTTAGGGCTAGCTCTGTGCAGGCACATGACATGGGCTTTTAGCAGTGTGGCTGAAAGCTGTAAGGGCAGAACTGCTGCGAGGAAAGGTGTGCCCTGAGAAGGACTAGCTGAAAAAATAGAGCAAATATTTTGCTGTTAAATGAGGTGCATTTTCCTTCCCCTAAGAACAAACCTTTGCCCCAAGGGGCATTGAGAGGTGCTTTTTCCACTTGTCCTGCAGGGCACAGCACATTCCCAGCAGCCCCTGCTCCCTGCAGAGGGTGCCAGAGCAGTGCCCCAGCGTTGCTCACCCGCACTGTGCCCTCGGAGCTCAGCTGTTTGCGGGGTTTCTCGGGCTCGGCGCGGGTGCCGTCGGGGTACGCGTGGAGGTACAGACACTTCCCACCAAAGGGGCACGTCCCCTTCCCTTGCTCAAAGTACTTGCAGGGCTTTTTCCTGATTCAATGAGAAGAGAGAGTTACTGCCTCCAGCTGGGGAGGAAGGAGCTGCAGTTCAGTCCCCAGGCTCAGCCTTAGTGATGCTTCAGTTCTCACACCCAGAGCTTTGGCCTCCCCTTCCCTCAGAGCAGCCAAAACAGAGGGCAGAGATCACTGTTAAAACAAACACATAAAAAAACCAGCATCATAAATCAAACAGACAGTTTCCTTTTAAGCTGTGGAAAGTGAAGGATGTTCAAAGAGCACCACAATGGGCCAATCCATTGCTGTTTTTCTAGGATATCTTTTCTCCTGCCTTTTCTACCACTACATTTTTAAGAACCAGTTCCCCTCCTCATCTCCTTTGAAAATTCTTTGTTAATTTATGTTTCCTCATCTTTGTTGTTCAGCCAAGGTGTCCAGGCTGCACAGCAACTTGTCACAGGGTTGATCTTTGCACAATTTGTACAATAGCACCTGGGGGGGGTTGGATTGAAAACAGCTGAAGAGGAAACTACAGGGAAAATGCAACGGAACTTGTTAATATGAAAATAGTGATGGAACTGATTCCTAAGACATAGATACAGTCTATCCAATAGCAACTACATGGAGCACAAAGATCAACCCTAACAAACAGAATACCCAAACACTCAAACAGGTTTTTCCAAACTTCAGGTTTCTTGGTCTGACTTTTTTCATCCTGTGTTGGCCTGACTCCAGCTCTTGGCTTAGACTCCACTTCAGCAGCATCTTATTAGCATTTTTTCATTCCACCAACACCAAATCCTCAAATTAAACTAACTGCCAAGAGCTCTATCCATAGAATTTCTGTACCAAAGACATTTTACCCATAACCTGTAATATATTAGTCTTAGCTGAGCACTTCAGCGAAGCCTCTTTTTACACCCTCTCCTATACAACGGGTGACAAGAGTCAAACTTGACTTCCAAGACCACCTACACCTCTATGCAGTGGCACAAAGGCTGACCCTGCTGGGAACAGGGCTGTTTAAAAACTGTGCTAAGGCTCTGGAGCACAACTGACCACCTCAATCCAAAGTCTTTAGGAGCTAAAATAAACCAAACCAGTGATGGGGGATTGAAAACAACCCCTATCTGAAGAACTGCAGTTTAAGTGCTTAATTTCATTCAAATATTTTGCCTACTAGAAGACAAGATGCTGGGATAAGTGTTTCATGGAGCAGCACTGCTTTCAACTCTTCTGCTGAGCTCTACAGGTCTTCAAGCAGCTGAGAAGCTGCAGCCACAGTAAGATGGGTCTAAATAAGGCCCATTTTTTCCTGTACTCCTGTTTAAAGGTGGATGCATGTCACAGAATAAAGCTGCAAACCATCAGCAAAACAGACCAAGCTCACTGGGGTCAGGCCCAGCTCTGCCTGGTCACCCTAAAAACAGGGAGCAGGAGATAAGAAATGGTATCTCCCTGCTCTGTGAACCACAAAGCCCTCACACATCCCAGGCAAGCACAGCTCTACAGAGCTGCTCCAGCACTGCCCTCTCCCCATGCTCCCAGTATCCCTGTTGGACAATATAAGGAATGCAGTCCTGGAGTATCTGCCATTTCCAGCAGACATTACAAAAGCTCCATGACTTTTTATCCCATATTGCAGGAGACCATTACATTTTCCTTCCCTGTTTGTTCTCAGTAACCAACAACAGTCCAGGCCATTGTGTCTGAGGGATAAACAGAAGCCACGTAAAGCCAATTCTGGCAAGTGAGCTGAAATAACTTCAACACTTCAGAGCACAGTGAGGTTGAATACTTTCTGATCTACAATTACAGGCCAGACCCTTTCATGGCAGCCACAAAGTTAAGCAGAGGAGTGAGCAGAGATCAGGAGTTCTCTGGACAATGGGCTGGAATTACAAGAAGTTTAGAAATGCAGGCTCGGTGATTGACTGACCCTTGGTGCATCTAAAGAACAACACACAGAGTGTGTGTTACTGAACTTACCCCACTCCCTGCTTAAAGGCTTCAATCAGCTCATTCTTCTTCTCCTGCTCCTCCACCCAGTACACACTGGGGATGACAAACTCGGAGATCACTCGGCACTCGGGGCACGACCTGAACAAAACAGTGATGCCTGTTACCTCTGCTGCTCCCAGGAGGGACACCCTCCCAGGAGGGACACCCTCCCACACGTGCCAGCAGCAGCGTTTTCCGAGGGAAGGGGCTGGTCTGTCACTCTGAGGCAGCAGCTCCTCCTCCCACGTTAGCACAGCACACTTTGGGGTGCATTGCTTTGGAGTTCACTTGAAATCATCCAGCTCAGTGCAGTCAGGGCTCCTGTTTGGTTCTGGACTTGAACAAAAGCAACAGGTATTTCCTCAATGCACAGAAACCTGTATTTGCCAATCCCAGCAGATCAGCAGAAACAAACTGTCTACTCTGTGAGTGCTGCAGCCCCCCTGCAGCAGGAAGCCAAACCAGAGGAGAAACACAAATGAAGGTGTCTCAGCCTTTGGAAATGCAATGAGCTGACGTTCACTTCAACGAAAGTTGTAGTAAAAGTTGTGGAGAAAAGTCTATTTTGGCAGAAGAATGAAAATATTTCCCATCTTTTCCTCAGTGTGTTTGTAACTTAAGAGAGAGATATGCTCAAAAAAGGAAACTGATTGGATGTTTTAAATTCTCTCACCTGAGGAGGAACATGTTTGGAACACATTTTTTATTGAGCTAGAAGATGAAGGCATTTACTCAGACACAGATAAAGGTGTGATTAGTGGGACCTTTACCTGGAGTAAGCCACAATTTAGAGAAAAGTCCCATAATGAAGCACCTACATAGGAAAAGGAGTTGCTGTTCTTGCACACAGGTCACTGCGAGGGGCAGAGGTTAATGAGGTCCCAGCTGCTCCAGAGCCCCCCTGTCTGCACTCTGCCCCAACAACATGGACAGGGCCAAACTTTTCTCACATAGAGCCAGAGTATTAAGTGAACTGTCACCCAAGGACACCCCAAGTGTCCTGCTGCTCTTGGAGACAGCTCTCATAGCCAAGTCCTGGGACTGGCCAGGCCAGCCCTTGAGCTCTCTGCTCATATTTCCAGCTCCAGAATCCCTGCTCAGCAGTTTCCTTTGAAAGCCCCTCAGTGGCAGGGCCCAGGAGAACACTCACTTGATGATGGGGTTCTCAAACTGCTTGGCACATCTCCACTGCCGGATGCAGGACAGGCAGTAGGTGTGGGTGCAGTTGGACAGGATCCCAAACCTCCTCTCCGAGGCCGATGGTTTCTCGTACACCACCTCCATGCAGATGGAACACACCTTGTCCTGGCTGGCCTGGAAGGCAAAGGCCTTCTCCATGTCATGCTCAAACGTGGCCATGCACATCTGTGGGGGACAGAGGTCAGTGTCAGTACACTCCCTGCCAGGCTGGGACAGAAGTGTCTGAGGAAAGGGTCTGTGACAGCAAAACCACACAACACTCACTAAGGGCATCACTCCTACCCGTCATCATTTCATTTCAAGAACATTAAATCCAATCACTTATTTCAGCCTTCAATGGTCTCTGCAGCTTCAGAACTGTCAGAAATAAGGATGCCTGAGCACTCTTCATTTACCCCTTTCTGTATCTCTCATGGAACAGGTATTGAATCATTTAATGCTTCAAACACCTCGAAAAAACATCACATTGAGGGTCCAGAACAAGTGCCACACTCAGGTTGTTACTCTGATTATTATTAAGGCCACATTCACTCACTGGATATTAAGTTTTAGGCAGTTAAGGCATTAGGCTCTTATTTCAGGGTTTCCTCCAGCATTTCTCATCCCCACGGTGACAATCCATAACCACAAGGTGAGCTGCTGCTCATACCTGCACAGTTTTACCTCTTTACTTTTCAAAGGTCTCAGGGCTTGAAAAGTAATATAAATTTACAAGACTTCAAACTATAATCATAATGACAAAGGACACAAAATAATTCCCCATTAGTGGCACGTCTGACTAGTGCAGCTCCTCATCCAGCACACAGCTCTGCTTCTGAGAGCACCAGTGCCTGGACACTGACCCAGGCACCAAGCAGCTCCTGGGAGGAGGGAGCATTCCTGCAGCAGCACATCTCAAAAGTACACACAGACTGCACAAACCCTGAGCTTTTTAACCCCTTGGATTCTGCTCCTGCTCCTCGCTAGCCCTGATGTAAACCTGGTAGCCAGGAAGAGGAACGAGCAACCCTTCATCCCATCCTTACCCAGCCAATGCCTCACCAATGCTTGCAAGTTCAGCCCCAAAATCTTTGTGCTCCCTCCCATGTGTCCCCACTTGCCCGTGCCCTGGGTCCAGCCCCAGCCAGGAGCAGGTGCCAAGCTGCCCCAGCAGGGCCATCCCAGAGCACAGCAGCCCCAGTTCCTGTCCCAGTGTCTGTGACGTGCACCGAGGCACCGGCTGACCCGCAACGGGCATTCTGGCAGAGTTTCAGTGTGCTGGGAGAGGGCTGCAGACCAGTCTCTGACAGGCATGGAACAGGAAAAAACGAGGTGATTCCTGCATCACTGCTCCCAGTTAAGCCCCAGATGCTTGAACACACCACTATTAGAACCATTCTCTAGCTGGATAAGCAATACAACGGCAGCTCTTTGGGACTGGCTCTGCTACAAAACACTGTAGAGCCAACACCCAGCCCTGCAGTGAGCCAAGCCCCCCAGGGTGCCCTGTCCTTACCATCTCATGGGCCCTCCTCTGCTCGGGGTCGTGGGGGTGCAGCACGTGGAGGCCGCAGATGTCACACAGGTCCCCGTGCAGGTACGGGCAGCGCTCCCCGACGGGGCACGGCCCCCGGGCCGAGTAGGGGCACAGCTGCCCCCTGGCCCCGCAGGGCACCTCGGGCCCGGGCTCTGCCAGCCCACTGCAGATGGCCTCCAGGTACGAGTGGGGCTTCACCTCCAGGCTCTCCGCGGGCTCACTGCAGCTCCCCCCGTCCCCGGGGGCGCCCGGGGGCGGCTTCTCCTCTCCTGAGCCGCACAGATCTGAGGGGACAGACACAGGCACTGCACGGCCCAGGGCACTCCACAGCCTCTCCTTCCCAGGAGCAACGGCTGCGTTTGCTTTTTTAAAGTTTTCTTCTCAATGAAATCTCATCTCTAAGCTCCTTCTGCTCACAAATCACAGGAATGTTCCCAAATTACCTACTGAAAAGTTCAATTGCAAGATTTCTTCAGCTGCTTTCTGTTTACAAATAGACTAAAAAAAATCACAGAATCATTTAGGCTGGAAACGACATGTGAGACCATGCAGTCCCCCCTGTGCCCGATGCCCACC